AGTGGAGAGTGCTTGGAGAGTCTGGCTCAGCCCAGGCATAAATTCTACTGGGAAGAGGATCCCCCTGAGTCTGGCAGGTGCAGAGCTGCCTGAACAGACTGGACAAGTGCTGAACCAGTACAAGCAGACTGGATTTCCCCTGGGGAAGTTTTCTGAGGTCTAGATTAGGAACAGTGGCTGAGGCTGGACTAGAACAGTAGAGTCAAAGCTCCAGCATTCCTGTGACTTTCCTCCCATGACGCTGCACTGACTGTCCTTCATGTGTGTGTCAGACACGAATGTTGGGCTCCTGTCACGACATCTCCTGCTGATCTCCCCAGCACCAGCTCTGCTCTGGTCAACCTTTGAGTTATTTTGATACAAGATCTCTCCTGAATTCTCATTCTCTTTCAAGTTTTCTCCAGACATAAGATCTTGTCAACAACTGTTGGAAGCTTGCCTGTACCATACTGGGGTGACTAGGAATGTGAGCTGTGACCTAAGGTGCATCTGGATGGAACTTCATGAACCCTTGAGTTCCTAAAGCCCTAGAGCCCTGCTTGATGCAGGACTTCCCCCTGAGCTGGTGGTGGCATCGGGACACAGCCTAAGGGCCACTCAGGGACTATCAACACTGTGAGTCTTTCCAAGACACACATGTGAGTTTCCATCAGGGTTTGTAGCTCAAGCCCAACACCACCAACCTCCCCAACCCAACAAACATGAGCAGCAGAGCTGGGTATTGCACCAACAGCCGACTCCTCGTGGCCTTCCTGCTCCCCTTTTCTACTGCTGCACCAAGACTAATATTTCTGTTCGAGGGGGACAAAATCTAGCTCATATGACCTTATGTTTTCCACAATTCTGTTCAATATAGCATAGAAATGTATGTTTTCCAATTCTAGATTTGATTATTTATTTTTACAATCCAAATTTGGAATTCAGAAATCTTACCTTTTCTGTCAACATGTTGTGACTGAGGCTGACCTAAGACTTAATTTTAAATAGATGTAACTAAGTCTATCTAGTAGTAGCAAAACAAGAATTGACCAGTTTGGCTTCCAGACTCAGGGAATGGTAGTGTAAATGCTGGGCGTGCCGCTGTATTACAGAGACATGTTTAAAAAGCAGGAGGTGGGAGTGTGAAGGTGGGTAGATGGGAAGGAACAGAGTCTGTATCACCAACCCGGTCCAGCTGCTTGTGCACCAGAAACTATTCAACCAAAATAAAATTCAGATGTCTTAGTTTTGGATGGCCATGAGTCAGCGTCAATGACAATGCTGTTATACTAAATGGATTTAATTGGTGAATAAATGTAGGTAAGGCAAGGAAGATTAAGATGAGCTTTCATTCACTTTCTCTTCAGTCCTGCCTGGTTGTCAGAGGGCATTTGAACCCTCTCCATTTTCCTGCAGATTCTTCCAGCTCAAGGCGGTCACAGCCGACAGGTCCTATGTGTGTTGTCTGAGACGCAGCTGTGGCCCTCATAGTCCACAGCAGCCACCTGCAGCCTGTTCCCCGACGTTCCCCACAACTCATGCCATGGTGCCTGCTCATCAGGCAAACAACACTGGTGTGGAGTGGGGCCACCCAGCAGGGAGGTTTGTGTTCGGGGCTGTACCACTGTGGGAGGAAACCATGAGCCTTGCCCACAGTAATAAACTCCAGCATCCTCAGGCTGCACCCTGCTGATCTTCAGTGTGAAATCTGACCCTGACCCACTGCCACTGAACCTGTCTGGGACACCAGAGTCCCGGTTGGAAACCTTATAAATCAGGAGACGGGGCGACTGGCCGGGCTTCTGCAAAAACCAATTCAAATAGGTATTTCCATCACTGTGCAGGAGACTCTGACTAGCCCTGCAGGAGATGGAGGCCGACTCTCCAGGGGTGACAGACAGGGAGAGTGGGGTCTGGGTCATCACAGTATCTTCACAGGACCCTGAAAGAGGGAGAGAGAAGTAAAAGATTGTTGGACTTAATTTTCTTAATTTCGTTCTGTCATTTCTTTCAGGTGAAATCAACTTTTGTCATGTGAATCAGAGCCCCCAAATACCTCATTTCAAAAAGGAACACATGTATCCAAGGCAAAAAGAGCCTCTAGAAGTCACATCCACCATCCACCATCCCTCTCTTTCTGTGTCAGCTTTCACTAGAGCACAGATCCTTTCTCCTTCTAGAGTTTCTCTGACTCTCTCAGACCTCACATGCCCCATCCTGGGAGACAAGACATGCACATCTAACATGTGCACAGAGAACCCCCGGGAGGCAGTGGGCCCCAGAGCCCCCCTCCCACCCCGGTCTCCTTCCTATCTCCTTCTGGGTCCTTACCAGGGACCCAGAGCACCAGCAGCCCCAGGAGCTGAGCAGGGAGCCTCATTGTGAGAAGTTGGACTGAGGAGTCCTGATCAGTCAAGGCAAGGTCAGAGCTGAGCTTTTATCTCAGACTTCCAAGGGAAGGTCCTCCCTAGGGGACAGTATGCAAATCCCCTGGTGGGTGCAGTGGTGTGAGAAGAATGTGTATGATGATGGGGGAGGGGCTCTCCTGTGAGCAGGGCAGAGAAGGTCTCTGTGCTTCCTAGAAAGGTAATTACAATCTCTGCTGTCTACTTAGAAGAAGGGACATATTTAAATGTTTCCTTCTGTTTACAAACTGGCCATAGCACTTTCCAAGCACATTGGACACTTCTCTTTAATATGGTTGAGCGTCCCCAAATATTTCAAGATTCTTATTTCTTTTTTCACGTATCTTGGTTTAGTTCTGTTATTTTTATTGAAATAAAACAGGCACAGAATAAAGGGGAAAACGTTAATTGGTCACTTGAATGAAGTTGTACTCATATTCACTATTCAGATAAAGGTAGAAATTATTTCAATTTGTCCAGATCCCTCTTTGATTTACCTTTTTGATCAATACCTGTTGCCCCTAACCTTACAAGAGATGCATTACTCTGACATCTATCATAGTAGTTTAATTTTCTTGAACTTGAAGGTCATGTGAATTGAGGTAAACATTTATATTAAATTTCCAACTTCTTCTTTCCTTTCTATTTTTGAGGACTTTGTTCCATCCTAATGATACATAAAACCATGAATTGCTATTTACTGTGATTCTGAAGGATTTCTTCTCAAATTTCTTTTAGGCATATCACTTAATCACAGCTTCCTTTCATTTTTTCATTTTGAAGGATTATTTTGCTGTACCTAAAATTATTTTTGACTTTTTTTCTTTGTGCATTTTAAGGGACTTCAAAATTAATTTTAGCCCAGTAGTCTTAACTAATTAACAACTCATATTTTTAACATCTCTGAGTTTTTTATACTAATGTCTTTTATATGTTTCAGGTTAAAATTTGAGGATTTCATATTGCATTTAATTTCATGCCCCCTTGCTTTCCTCCAATTTGGGATAGTTTTTTAATTTTTATTTGCCTTTCAATCTTTTCAAACGTTTAAATTATATTGGCCAAGGTTTTTGGGTAACGGCTCTCTGATAAGATTTGTTTAACATTTTCCATTGATTACAGCCTTTTTTAAATTTTTTCATTTTTGGTAAGAAATTACAGAAAGGCTGTGTCCTCAGTGCTTTGTATCATGATTTACATAATGTCAACGTAATATTGCTGGTGAGGATGAATGAATGAGATGAAAAAAACCGGCGGCACCCATAGCTCAGTGGGTAGGGCGCCAGCCACATACACTGGGGCTGGTGGATTTGAACCCGGCCTGGGCCTGCTAAAACAACAATGATAACTGCAACAACAACAACAACAAAAAATAGATGGGCATTGTGACAGGAGCCTGTAGTTCCAGCTACTTGGGAGGCTGAGGCAAGAATATCTGTTAAGCCCAGGAGTATGAGGTTGCTGTGAGCTGTGACAGCATGGCATTCTACCCCAGGTGACAGCTTGAGACTCTGTCTCAAAAAAAAGATAAATAAAACCCTTTTTATAAGGAAGTCTTAATCAAAAGCACTTGCTTTTATCAGTCTTCCTGTGAGATTATATGCTGACTGTGTCAGGATCATCAGAGGAAATGATGGTCATTTACCACTGGAATCCTGATAGCCTGCAAAAAGGAACAGAGCACTGGGATTTATTAAAGCACAGTGGTGTCCACCACTGCATCACTGCATAGCCGTTATAACTGAACTACTTACCCAGGTGGATCTCATGATTGGCCACATAGAGCATCTCAGGGAGCAAGAGGAGAGTTACAAAATTTACTTTGCTACTTCTAATTCAGGTTATTGACATACTATTGGTGCCATATCAGTATTCACATAGCTGAGACATGATTCTCAAGAATCAGAAATTCTGGAGCCTCAGTTGAAGAACATGTGACTACATTGACCTGTACTTAATTCTCAAAATAGGTATTTCTTCACGTTTTCCATTTGTTATCTGAATAATCAGTGGGATTATATTTCGATTATTGTGAAAGGTAAAACACCAGGAGAGGATAGAGGGCAGAGAGTGAATATCAGAGAATTACCAGCCAGATTGAACATATAGAGTTACCCAGAGGCTTTAGGAGAAAAATATGTAGAAGAAAAACTATTTGAAGAAGTCATAGGTGTTAACAGAAAAAGAAAAAGCAACTGATAGCAACGTAGAAACCCTTTCCACAGAAAAGATGGTCCACATCTAACCACAGCCACAGTCATTGACAGATTGTGTCCATAGTTCCTGGAGACCTGAGAAAACAGATCAGGTCAATCCTGACTCTGGGAACAGGAGGAGGCTGTGGATGTGAGCAAAGTGGGTGTGAACTATCATCTGTAAGGGCATGGCCACTGGCCTTAGAAGGATCTGCAGGTGCTGCCCTTTCTCCCACCTGGATGAGGACACCTCTATCCCTGTTCTCTTGATGCCCTGCAATGACCTGACCACACATCTGGGACCTGTTCCTCACTCCTTTTCTTTATTAGACAGATAGACAGACCCCCTCACACACAATTCTAACATGTGTTTTCTTCTAGACTCATTTCCCCAGACTTACACTCTGCTTTGCTGACAGAATGTGATAGTAGGAACTGTTGTTCAGCTAAATACCCTTGGAGTTTCCATGGGTGTTATTTGTCTTCTGGTCCTGCGGTCTTGCAGATGAACGGGCAGCAGCAAGATGTGTAAAATTCTGCTGGATGAAATGATTGAGCTCTGACATGGAATGAAGAAGTGATGCTATAAAATGATAAGAATACCCAAATCATCCTGGTCTCCTGGCCACTATTTTCAGAGACATAAAGAGCTCCTTCTCCGTTCAGTGATCATGCCTGTGCTCCCTCTCGTGGTTAAGTGTGGGAGAATCCTGAAGGTTTTTTTCTGTGACTTGACAATGCTATTTTTGTGTTATGGATAAATTCTTTCTTGCACATTTTCATACATATTTTCTTCTGAAACTTATAACAGATCATAACTGAGGGCCAGGTACTTTGTATGTGTGTTCATATTAAATAGGGACATGTAGTTTTCAGTTAAGAGTCAATGGGCTATGAGTTGGGATTTCCCCACCATGTGTGGGATCCAGGTGCTGAGGAGGCCACACCATACTTAGCTGCACAACACCCTAATAGCAAATGAGTGACTGTAGAGGCCTCAGACTTGGGGTGCCAATGACTCAGTCAGTCTGGGCATGTATCATTTGCCTGTGGTCCTCTCCCAGTCAGATGCTGGGGGCAGTTTCCCTCTTGACTGTCCCACTGGCCTCCCTCAGCTCTCTTAGGGTGTCTTGGGAGGACAGGGCTGATGGCTGTACAGAAAACCGAGTTTTAAGTCTTTACTTATGGTTAGATTTAAGAAATGTACCATTTAATAATCTCACCAGGAAGGGTGGTGCCTGCCAGATGATTATGGAGGGAGAATCATCCTCTTCCTTCTTCCCTAAACCAGGTACGTCCTGCATTTTTGTGGAGGTTTAAACCCACAAAAGGGATTGAAACCCATAGAAAGCTTAAAGTTGTTGCTTTAAATCTGATTTTAAGACAGAGTATGAAAGCTAAGAGCAGTGGCTTTGCAGACTACTTTGGTCCCTGGTTGTACAAAAGGCTGTGACACCTGCATTACTTGGGGCCTGGTGTGGGAACCTCACATAGTTCTCTTTGTCACTCAGCTCTGTCCTGTCTGCTCCAGACAGGACACAGTCTTTCTTTGTCCAGTAGTTTCCACTTTTTTTGTTTAAAAATGAATGAGTATTCCTCTTTATCTTAGACTGCCACCAGCAGTCTGTAACTTGTGGTATAATAAATCACAATTAAATTCATCCACATCCACTTTTTGTTGTTTATCTGTGGTAACAGATCACCACGTAGCCTGACCTAAAGCATGCCAGAGAATAGCTCAGTGCTCACTCAGATTTTCTCTGATCCCTGAGTTTCTCTTGGAATAATTAAACACAATTTCATTGTTAACCATTTGTTCCATAAATATCTCTTGAGCTCCAAGTGTTAGCCAGACACTGTGCAGGATGTTAACTTTTAACATGATGAAAATGAAAGATGGAAAGATGAGCAAGAGAGAGAGACTGGTTTTAGAACCTTGTATAATTCCTATGTAACGGCCTGGACGTCCCCACATGTATTATTCAGAAACATGGCAGAGGGAGCCAGAGTTTTTTCCTAAATTTTCCCCAAACTAATAGATGGGAAATGCTATCTCCAAGATGTTTTGATTTGCATTTCTCTAATTATTAGTGAAATTGAACATGTTTTTGTGTATTTACAGCTCTTTATGTGTCTTTTGTATATTATGCACTCTGTATTTTCCCTTTTTTTCTAATTTTTATAAAACTTACATATTGAAATACTATCCTTGGGGGAGTCTGGGAAGATGGCAAACTGGTAGCAACCCTGGTCAGAGGCTCCAGAGCAAAGGAAGAAAAACTGGTTGGAATCAGAATCTATGAAGCCACAGACAGGGAGCTGAGCCCAGAAAGAAGTTTGGGAAGCTGTAAATCCAAGGAAGAGCATTTAAGAACACAAAATTGAAGTACAAAGCGAGCCCCTGAACTGCTTGCTAGAACTGCATGCTTCCTGCTGGCAGCAGGTGGCCCCAGAGGAGTCCCCCACTCAGGGAAGGCAAAGAACTACTTACTAGAGCCTTGCGCATCTCCGTGGATGGGGGTGGAGGAGTCCCGCACTCTTGGGGGACCCAAAACTACTTGCTAGAGCCGTGCACCCTATGGGCAGCAGAGGAGATCCCCGCTCCAGGGCTGTGGGCGGGCCCAGAACTGCTTGCTAGAGCCACAGGCCTCCTGCAGGCAGTGGGTGGTCACAGAGGAGTCCCCAACTTTGGGCAGGTGCAGAACTCTTGCTAGAGCCATGCACCTCACGAGAGGCAGAGGTTATCCCCGTTCCAGAGTTCTGGATGGGCCCAGAACTGCTTCCTAGTGATGTGGGCATC